TAGAAGATGACAAAGCCCTTGAAGTCTCACCAGTCTTCTGCTTCTTTACAGGCTTTTCTGGAGCAACTTGCTTTTTCCTCTTTAACTTTTTGTCAACTTCACTGTCAGTATCGCTGCCTGAAGAGCTTGAAGAAACAAGTTCCTTTGATTTAGGCATTGCTCCGCTACTGCAGTCGACAGTCTCCTGCTCGCTCCACACCTGGACTTTTTTGAGACAGTTTCATGATACAGTTCACACTAGCTCTGAACTCACTTTGTATCCCAGGCTGGTCTTGAACTCCATGATCATCCTGCCTCAGCCTCCTGAATGCTGAGATTATAGGCAAGCATATAAATTTTTAGGATTGTTATGTCTAACTCTGATTTTTATATCATATTTTGACCCAATGCTTTTACATAAGTCATTCACATTCCTTCAATCACCATGAGAAATTCCTTCTAAGTATTGCAGACCTATGAATGCCTCCAGTTCAGCTAGTGAGGTGTCATAATGAATACTTTTAATTGGCTATTCATATATCCAGAATATTTTACTTGCATTTGAGCCTTTATGTATTTCACAGCATCTTGTCGCAGTTTTGTCTGTTAGAATTTCTAACACTGAATAGCGGTGCAGGCATTCTGTCCAATACCTTTCACCAATGCCAACATCCTCATTATATTTTTGTATCTTGTTCTAATACTGGATCCTTCCATTTGGTTGTGTGGCCATTTCTCACAACATTCCAACTAGTCAAATATGTACTCACATTGCTGTTTTCTTCATCATATGAATCCACATTCCCTGTGTCTATATCAGTTGAATCTTGCTCCATTTCACTGTCATTGAACTTTGGCTCACATGGCCACAAAGCTGTTGTTGTCCTCATCATCATGATCATCATCATCTACCCTCACCACTTTTTTAATCTTTTATTTACTTAGTATAGGGTCTCACTATGCAGCTCAGACTCCCCAGCACTGGGAGTACAAGCATGCACCACCACACCTGGTTTCAGTGGCCAGCCCTTCCAGGCAAACACAGCATATAGTGCCAGAAATTGAACCCAAGTCCTTGCTGCCAAGCACTTAGACCCCTGAGCTATCTCTCCAGCCCAACCCTCACCACTCTTTTTCCTTTCTTTCTTTTTTTTTTTTTTTTTTTTTTTGCAGAACCGGGGATTGAACTCAGGCCCTTGCACTTGCCAGGCAAGTACTTATTCTACTGAGCTATCTCCCTGGCCCCACCTCATGTCCCTGGCCCCACTCACCACTTTTCTGTTATGAAAACATTCATTTTACCAATGGATCTTCTTTAACATTCATGAATGAGTAATCTAATGATTTGCTTTTTTTTTTTTTTTTTTTTGGCAGAACCAGGGATTGAACTCAGGCCCTTGCACTTGCCAAGGAAGCGCTTATTCTACTGAGCCATCTCCCCGGCCCATGATTTGCTTCTGACTTCCTCCGTGTACCATTGTCCTGAACTGGGATACTTCTAAGAAAAAATTAAAAGCAAACTTTTCAGCAAACGCTGAAGTGAAAGTATACTGGATATTCAGGTAAACATACTCAAAAACTGTTCCACAGAGGATAATGTGGCAGTAAATCCTGGTTTGATGCTTTTGGACAGGGGCACACACCATGCCTTTTCACATCAAGTGGGTAAAGAGCAGGATTGCTTCCTGCATCCTTCAGGAAAGGTACTAAGGGGCTGGGGAGATGGCTCAGTGGAATAAGTGCTTCCTTGACAAGCACAAGGGCCTGAATTCAATCCCTGGTTCTGAAAAAAAAAAAAAAAAAAAGGAAAGGTACTAAGATGCACACTGGCTACTATTACACTTAATAGTGCAAGAGTAAAAATTTACAGTAGAAAAGGAAGGGTTATATATGTGGCACCCATTACACTTAGAGAGTTTAAGGAAGTAATCTTGGTTTAGGTACAACAAATCTTAGTTGGACATTTTCTCTCTCTCTCTCTTTTTTTTTTTTCAAAACTGGGGATTGAACTCAGGCCCTTGCACCTTATTTTATTGAGCTATCTCCTCGGCCTGACATTTTCTTATAAAAATTCAGACTATTGATTTACATGGGACCTGTAGAGCTTAAAGTATTTTTTGGTGGTACCAGGGATTGAACTCAGGACCTTGTACTTGCCAGGCAAGTGCTTATTCTACTGAGCTATTTCCCTGGTCCCAAGTATTCGCTCTAGACTCTAGTTAAGTTCTAGCTATTTTGCTAGAAATAGCTAAATTTAGCCTTTATTTCTCAAAACACATTGAGAGGAAAATAATTATTTTTTTTCTAAACTCTGAACTGGAATTTGCAATATGAAAATGGCTAAACCTAAACTGTTCTTTAGCCAGAGCTTAACTGAAAATGGCTATGATCGCTTCTTCGGCTTCTGACCACAATCAAATAAATGTAAAGATCACCATAACACTGCTTTCTGGCTTTCAGATCGATAGGTAAGTATACCAAAGGTCTGTACAACTACACTGATGAGGCTGTAAACATGAGGTCCTACATATTTACTTATGATTCAGGCGCAAAGCCTCAAATTTGGTCTTTCTTCCACAGGGAGCATCATTAAAAAAAAAAAAGAAAAGAAAAGAAAAAAAAAAACCCATAGGAGCATCAGCAAAGGCGTAAATATGGGGCATAGGAAAGCCTGACCAGTATCTCAACCGTTTGCCTGCCTATGTATGCAGATATCTATAAGTTCAACAATCACTGTTTTCAAAATCCCATATGATTCTGTTCATTGTCTACCATCAGGAAAGGGACCAGCCTGTACACAAGCTAAAAGTGCCAGGATAGGGAAAGTTCAATTGTAACTGGTGCTATTTATTCTAACAATTGGTAAAAGTTTCTCATAAACATGAAGATGCTATTTAGAATGTAAATTCTAGTTTTTCATTAAACAAGCTATCTTTTAAAATTCATTAAGAATTTGTACTGAAAATGTTTTCCTAAAAGTACTAAAAGCAGGACATGGAACACAACTCTAGTAAAGTATGTGCTTAGCATGTTTGAGGCCCTGTGTTCAGTGTAAACCCACCCACAAATTTTTTTTTTTTTTAGAAACTAAAATCATTTTGCCTGGGGCCAGGGAGATGGCTCAGCTAAATAAGCGTTTCCCCGGCAAGTGCAAGGGCCTGAGTTCAATCCCTGGTTCCGCAAAAAAAAAAAAAAAAAAAAAAAAAAAAAACAATAAAATCATTATGCCTGAGGCAAGAAACCAGAAATTAGTATCCTGCATAACATTTCCCTACTAGCAATAGTACAAAACTGATCATTTTGTATTATAGGATTCTTTTTTTTTTTTGCGGTACCAGGGATCGAACTCAGGACCTTGCACTTGCCAGGCAGGCGCTTATGCCACTGAGCCATCCCTGGCCCCTCATTTTGCATTATAAATCCAAATATAAGGCTGGATTTTAATGCCAGGAGATTCTCCTGCCTCAGCTTCCCAAGTGCTGGGATTTGAAGGGAGGATGTAAAATTTTCAACCAATGTGGAAAAACCAAGGTCATCCTGAATGAAATGACTTAATCCCCCCAAATTATGGGTTCTTCAGCAAATACCCCAATTCTCTTAATTTCTAAAACTAAGCACCTGCCTGGCAAGTGCAAGGTCCTGAGTTCAATTCCCGGTACCAAAAAATAAAACAGACTAATTTTTTTCTGTGCGTTGCTGCTATGGTAAACCTTTGTTGATTTCTTTTTGAAAACTTATATAAGACTAGAAAGGATTAAGGGATAAGTAAGATTCCAACTATTCTCAACTCATAAACCCAGAATGGCTGCCATGAAGTGAGCGAAGGACAAATGAATAAGTAGGAAATGAGCCTGAAAACAAAAAACGAATAGCTTTGAGGGCTGTGTAGCACCTCAAGAGTCCAAAGAACCATGCGGCCTGGACCACACCATTTTGTGAGCTATGACTGCTCACATATCTAACTTCTCTATGCTTGTTGCCTCAACTGCTAAAATGGCAATAATAATGAGTACCCAATACCTCACAGAAATATCATATAGATTAAGTGAGTTAGTATACATAAAAGCACTCAATAATCTCCATGGATGCGTAATTCTGGTCTTAAACAGGGCCAAGGACTAACTCCGCGCCACAAAATTCTCAAACCCGGGCTTCAGAATACCTGACTGACTGAAAACAGATGCTTTACTACTCTTACCCAAGTTTAGTTGGTACAGCATTTTCGCTTTCACCACATTCATACAATGGGCAAACCGAGGACTAGACAATTACTACTTCCCTGCCTACCCAAGTCACCTGTCCAATTCTGGGGAACAATAGCGGGAACCAGCTCTCCTGACCCTTCAAAGCCCAGCCGAAATCCCAGATTAGAAAGGCCCAGGGGCATGTTTTTGCGCAATGTCCTGGGCCTCTGGGCAGTGGACCGGACTGATTTGATTGCCTCGTCTTACCTCTTTAGGATCTCCGGATCCAGTCAGCATCTTCTGGTCGTCTTCCAGTCCCATGTCCGGCTACGTTTGCGGACTAAATGCTAACAGCAAGACCGACAGCTACTCCACTTCAGGATCAAAAAGGACTAGTAAGGGTCACTCAGCGGATATCCGGCGACCTGGCCGGAAGTGCGGCATACTAGTCGCAGTCGGCGAACACCTCCTCGGATTGGCATGTACTAACCGCTAAAGGCAGATGGTAGGGGAAACTTGTATTTAATTCTACGGACATTTTGCTAAGAAACGTTCCTCTAGTCACTCCAGACACAAGTATACTGACCTAAGATTATATGTAAAATATTAACATCCTCATAACTTGAAAAATATGTTAATGCTTTTAATGGTCCTTTAGCACACTTCTCATCCCTCCCTATATCGCTTATGGACCCATCCTAACTGCTGACCTTTTCAAGATGGCGTTCCGCGAGCGCCACCTTCGGGCTCGCGCACCTCCCCAAGATGGCGGCGCCCGAGGCCTGGCGCGCCCGGAGTTGCTGGTTCTGTGAGGTAGCGGCGGCAACGACCATGGAGGCCACGTCCCGGGAGGCGGCGCCAGCGAAGAGCTCGGCCTCGGGCCCCAGCGCTCCCCCCGCCCTGTTCGAGCTGTGCGGGCGGGCGGTGAGCGCCCATATGGGGGTTCTAGAGAGCGGGGTGTGGGGTAAGTCGCGGGGTGAGGGGTGACCTGTGGTAACGAGCGGGGGCGGCCCAGCAGCCAGGGGGCTCTGGGGGCGAGGCCGAGAGGCCCGGGGCAAGGCCCAGCCCGGGGCACTGGAAGCCGAATTGTTGGGTCGCAGCACGCATTCGGTGACTGTCAGTGCTGTACAGGGTAAAGACCAAGATCAGATGAGCAAGAGGACTCGCATCGCGGCCTGGCCGGGGGGCCTGGGGGTGAGGCCAGGAGGCCTGGGCCGGGGTACAGCTGGCCGGGCCCAGGCGACCGAGGCCGGGATGGCGGGCCGGAGCCGCAGGTACCGAACTGACACTCGGTCGGGCTGGGCTGCAGCCACTCGTTTGTGGAAGTGACAGGCAGGGATGGGCCGGCTGCCGGGGGTAGGAATCGAGGTTAGCAGGCCCGGCCCGAGGCAAGGAGGACGGCCTCGGCCACCTAAGCTGTCGGACCGCCCGGGGCCTCGCGTGTCCGAGGGACGCACGGCGGTGCTGGGGCTCAGGAGGACGAGTCGCCGGGCGGAGGCGGGGCCGCGGATGGAGAGCGAGGCGAGGGGCTGGAGGAGAGGCCGAGAGACTCGCGGCCCGTGGCCTGTCTGCCGGCCCGGGCCTTGCTGCCCAGCTGTCTGGCCACTGACTGACCGGCAGGGCAGCGAGCGCCAGAGGCCGCTCGGCTGGGCCCGAACCGCCAGGGAGGGGAGAAAGCAGGTGCACGGACCCGGGGCTGTTCGGCAGCGCTGAAGGCCTGCACCACGGGCCGGCCGGTGGGCCCGGGAGGCCCCACACGGGCGACGGCGCCGGGTCCGGGACAGACGGGCCGGAGTGGGAGGGGCGCGTGGCGACGAGGAGGCCTAGGTCAGAATGGGAGCAAAGCGGGTCGGGCTGGAGGGCGATCGGGCCGAACACCGCAGGCAAGTGGCGGGCAAGGGTGAGAGCAATAGTTGGGCTATGGCCCGGAGGTCAGCTGTGGGCCAGGGAGGGGAGGCCTGCAGCGGATGGGCATGGGGAGGCCGGGCCCATGGATGCCGTCTGTCCGGCCGGCCTGGCGGCTAAGGGAGGAAATGGGTCGGTCGTGTAAGGATTGCGTTCCAGAGAGAAAGGGTAAGGTGAGGACTGAGCAACTCAGGCCTGACCGCAACAGGGATAAGGCCTCAGGCCTGACAAACTGGTGGTGTGATGGTGTTGGGGTTCAGAGCCAGGCTGAAATGGGGGGAGATCGACAGGCCAGGCCCCAGGGGGAAGGCCGCGGGGTTGGGGGGGAAAGGTGGCAGGATGGCAGGCCCTGGGCCTCGGCATGGGGGGAGGGGAGCTCCAGAGGAGGCCTGGGGTGGGGGTGGGGGGCAGGCCGCGTCCTTGCCTGGACAAGGCCCCAGGCAGGTCAAGAGTAAAAGCTTGCTGCCCCGGGGTTTGCATTACTGTCCACCATCACAGGATGGTATGTGGAAAAGGCCCTACAGTTTGGAGGACTGAGGCTCTGGAAGAGTGATCAAGGCCTTGGAGAATGATCAAGCAAGCACTAGTGGTGGATGGTAGGCCAGAGTCACCAATACTGAGGAGGCCCAAGCCATTGTAGTAGTAGGGGACGGAGGACAATTAGAAGTGGGGAAGGGATTGTAGAGGCTTTGTGCCAACATTTGGAATAGGAGAGCAGACCCATGAGGAATGGGGAAAATGTGCCAGTGGAGTTGAGCAGGAGTTCAGAAAAGTTCTGTGAATGTGGAAGGCAGATGGCTGGTGTCTGGCTGTATCTACCTGGAGCTTCTGGGATGCTACTCCTAGCTAGAAGACAGGACTGGGTATGACCTCCAGTTGGGAAAAGGAAGCACTAAAGAAAGGTATAGGCTGGAAAAAAGCAGAGAAAAAGAACTGTCTAAAAATAACAGAGAGGACCAGGCATGGTGGTGTGAAATTACATAGCAAGACCCTATCTCAAAAAAAAAAAAAAGAAAAAAAGAAAAAGAAATTAAGAGCAGTTTGGGGTTAGAAGGGGATGAGAATTCCTGTGACTATCTAAACTAAGGGGAACAAATTGGAGGAAAAGAGTATAAGGCTCTGGAAGAAATTCTTTTTGTATTGACTCTTAACCCTTGTTCCTACTACCACCACCACTGCAGTATGTATCTCAACCATTATTGCAGCCTAAGCTTCTGTCCAGATTGAGAAGAGATAGGGGAGAAAGATCTCCTGTAGGCTTAGACCAAGAAGTCATGCAGAAAAAGCTCAATTAGCTGAGGCCTTTTAGAAGATTGTCAAGTAAAGGGCCAGCCAGACAGCTCAGCAGATTAAAGCACCTGCTTAGGCAGCCACAGGGACCAAGATTTGATCCCAGCATGCTATGCTGGCTCCCACTGAGACAGTGATTGAGACTGGGCATGGTGGCATGCCTGTATTCCCAGCGCTCAGGAGGCTGAAAACAGGATCACTATGAGTCCAATCTGTGTAGTGGGACCCTGTACTAAATACATAAAATAATAATAAAAAGAGCCACATAAAAAGCCTGCTAAATAGTGCTATTTTGGAGGAAGGTCTCAATATGGACTACTAGGAAGCATTTCTTGGGGTAGAGAAGTAACATTACTTTGTGTAGGAGGTTGGATGGGAAGAATGAGTAGCGGCAGAAGGAAAGGGGACAATGAGGGGGAATTTTTTTTTTTTTTTTTTTTTTTTTTTTTTTTTCCAACTGAGTTAAGTTTTTTTTTTTTTTGCGGAACCAGGTATTGAACTCAGGCCCTTATGCTTGCCATGGAAACGCTTATTCCACTGAGCCATCTCCCTGGCCCCTGAGGGGAAAAATTTTTGAGACCGCACCTTACCAACTTACCAAAGACCAGGCTGGCCCTGACCTATGTAGCACAGACTGGCAGAATGATGAAACTTAAGTAGAATAAAGTCTACTATATCTTGAATAGGAGTTTGAACTTTATCTTAAATGTAACAGTGGGCCTTTAAAAGGCTTTGAGGAGAATGTCATCCCCAAGAGCAGTGCAGAGGCTGAGGTCAAGGAGAGCATTAATCCAGATGCATAAAGAATACTTTCAGCAGGTACACTGAATGTACAAATATACTAGACTCTTAAACTCAAGATTGTTAGTCAAGATTCAGTAAAGACAGATTGCACAAGTTTTTCTATACTCTAAAATCTTAGACTTGTTCTTCATAGGATAGAGATGCTACTGACAGGATAAACATATTTAGTGAGCCTATTGTAGCCAGGAATTGTTTTAACCAAATTACTAGCATGCTCTCCTTTAATCTTTAGTATCATCATTTATCATGAGATAGTCATTGCTATCTCTGTTTTCAAATTGAGGAAACTGAGGCTTAAAGAGGTTAGGGGCTGGGGAGATGGCTCAGTAGAATAAGCGCTTCCTTGGCAAGCGCAAGGGCCTGGGTTCAATCCCTGGTTTGGGCGGGGGGAGGTTAAATAATAAGAGGTTAAATAATTTTTCTGTGAACTCACAGGCAGGGTTTCATTCAGATTTGTCCAACTCTAGAGACTAAACCCTTTAGCTATAATACTGTAATCCCTCTCAGAACTAAAAAGGTTAGCAAAAACTGGTTGTTTTTTAAGATACAGTATATTTAAAGTATACAGATGAATTGCTTCCATTCTTTATAGAAAATTATAGTTCAGGGTATAGTGCTGACCCAGTAATATTAAAGTGATCAATCTGGAAGCTGGGAAAGGAGTTCAGAAAGGCTTAATAAAAGCCTTATTCTACTTGAAAGATAAGTAGTTGATATGCTGAAAGTGATAACATTACCTTTTGACAAAGGCAAAAGGATGTTTGGCCTGGGAGATAGCTCAGCAGCAGATGAACCTGCCTGGCGAGCTCAAGGTCATGAGTTTTGATCCCTGGTACAAATGGAAAAAAAAAAGCAGAAGGAAGCATAATATGTTAGGTAAATAACAAAGTTTAGTGTGACTTAAGTATAGAAGACAAAAGAGAGCTGAAGTTAGTAGGGTGGATTGATTATGATGCTTTTGTCACATTTTGTAGTACCTTTTCAATGGAAAATGGTTTGTTTAAAAGAAGCATTTCAGCTTCTTTTGTGGCATTGTCTCATCCTTACTCTTGAAATTCCACCTGCTATAGCTGAAGTAAACCAAAGTTTGGAACAGATTTATATTAGCTTCTCTAGGTTACTTTTGTCAAATAAGAAACTTGCCTTTCTATTTTCCTTTCCAGTAGAGTATGTAATTCTTGGAACTCTTGGGGGAAAAGTAAACATTGTGTTTTGGTTTTTGTAGCCCTCCCAGGCCCAATACTCCAAAGCATCTTACCTCTGCTCAATATATATTACTTGGAGAGGATTGAGGAAACTGCCCTCAAGAAAGGTGAGTGTCTTTCTGTCTCTTGGTGATTGTGAGGAAGGCACCATGATGTTCTTCAGGTAAATATTACACTTGATGCCCCAATAGAACTTCATGCTTTCAAAAAGTATTCTC